AACCCCACAGGCTGCGATAAAAAGACCAAGACAATCAAATTGGGTATATTCAGGATTTAGTGGGACACCAACATGCAGAAGCCTTATCTAACGCCGCAGTAATAAAAAGGTTGGGGACCTCTGGTTTAACATGTTTGCTTTTTTTATTCAAATATTTTGATACTTTTATTTTTCATATTTGATATGAAATTCATTCATTCATTTTGTAAAAACTATACAGTGAAGTCAAGTTTATTAGCATAGCATATTTCATAATGAAAAGATAGCATACTAATCTATTGTGAAACAAACAATGCCTTTACATTTTCTGAATTGCCATCATCAACATCATTAAGGAAAATAATCATCAAATATACATCAAATATTTTAATCAATATCCCAGTTATTATTAACCAAAGGAAAAATGTTTTTAGCCTCTGTTTAGTAGAATACAATATTTCTTCTGTTTTGCAGTTACATTTGCAATTTCAGGATGTTTATAGAAGGTCTCTGATGTCACTGAGTGGTCAGTAAATGCAACAATCCAGAGAATACCAGTACGGCTAATTGGAAGGGTTAAAGGGGAAAGCCTCTTGTCTCTAGAAACAAGATGGCTGAATGACTAAGATCAGCACATCTGCCTCTGGTTGAAGGACAAGACTTCTGGGACAATGTCCTCTGGACAGAGGAGATCAGAGAGGACATGTTGGACCAAGATGGACAGTACCAAAGACAGCAGATCGGCATAATCACTTCATGCTAACTGTAGCACGGTGGTGGAGGGATGGTGATCTGGGCTTTTTTCACCCTAAAACCTGGGTATCTTACAGTTACGGGCTGGACTATGAACTCCTCTGTAGACCAAAGTATTCTGGAGTCAAATGTGAGCATCTGTTCAATAGATGAATTTGAGGTCTCTTTCGACCTGGGTCTGTTTACTTTTGCAGAATATTTACTGTTAAAGTAAATAATCAAGATCCTGCAATTGTCTAGTCAAAGTCCAGACCTCAACCTAATTGAAATGCTGTTGTGGGATCTTCAGGGCAAACTCTAATAAACTAAAACAAAGCTGGGAAGAAGAGTGGCTGATGGAGCCAGTTAGAGAACCTGCTAAAGAGAGTATTTACAGAACTAGATCTGTGAAAGCTACAGACAGTGACGTTTCTGGTCCATCCGGTCTTCAGGTCCAGGTTAGAGTCTGCAGCCTCTCAGGTAGCTGCTCAGGTCTCGGTTCTGACAATATTTACGCCAGGCCACCCTGAAACCAAAAACATGTATGCTACATGATCTCGTCCAAACATGAATATCAAAGCAGTCCCATCATCACTGCACCACATGACCCACCATGCCCTGATGCCGTTGGGGTCCCTGACGACCCGTTTGGCGCAGGTGATCGCCGTGGTCACATCGTCCGTCTGGAGTTCTGTGGGAAGATTCAAAAACTGGAACTTCTGGTTTCCAGGAGAACTCCCAAAGTAAACATGAGGATTCAACGCTTACGGCTGCAGTTGATGCCGCATCCGTTGGATCTGGAGACTCCGCCGTCTCTGCACCAGTACTTGCTGTTGATCTGGAAGATGCCGTAGTCGGTGGAGCCGTCTGTGTTGCGGTTGGTGGCTCTGGTGTTGAAATGTGACTCGTGTTGGGTCAGACAAACCCCTACAGACAATCAGGAAACACCATGAGAGGGAGGAATGGATCAGTTGTCATTGGAGTAATTATTGGACATTTAGGAGTAATGATTGTTGTCTCTCCCTTCATAAATCCCTTCAAGGTTAAGAAGGAACTGGAGTCTATCGCCAAAGATCGTTGAGCAAGGGACGATGTCTAGAGTGGAAACTCTCAAGAAAAGCAACATCTACCACTGACAACGAGCTGAACACGACCTGGAGGCGACTGGACGTCCAGGAAACCAGGAAAACCAAGAAATGCAAAGGGAGAACATGGAAACTCCATCCAGAAGGATCCTGGACCTTCTCACTTTGAGTAAAATATATTAAATAAGCCTCCATGTAGCACCATGCAGGTGTTCTGGACCTGAATCAGTCTGAAGGTCCAGTGGAGGTGACAAATTTATTGATGGTAACCAGTGATGTGTACAGGTAGACACTAGGTGGTAGAGCGACACATCTCCTGCTGTTTTCAAGTCCCAATTTGGGTAACAGAGGTTCAAACAAAGTACTAATAATAATGAAAATAAAACAAACAACCACAAACAAAATGCTATGCTAACAGCTGATGGTTCTGTACTTACAGTCGGCCAGGCTGATGCCGCGGTAACCGTCCATGCCACTGGCCTTCAAGGTGCGCGCCCAGGCACAGCGCTCAAAGACTTTAGCGTTGGCCACGGCCACCAGCAGCAGCAGCAGCAGGGTCTTCATCATCTTCATCCTCTGGTCCCTGTGTTTTCTCTCCTGGGTGTTAGATCTGTGGCTGCTTAACCTAAAAGATCTGACCTCCTTCTGCTCTGGCTCCTCCTTATAAACACCAGAGCGGAGGAGGAGACTAACTCACATCTGACTTTACTATATTATTTTATTGTTGTTTTATAGATTTTAGATAGAAAAACTTTCAATGAAACATTAACTGCTGCTACTAAACATCCAGTCTTGGTTTTCTAGGAAATCTTTATTATTTTATAACAGTGTTTGACCCAACAGGAAGAACTGGTTCCTCATACCTGGAACCCAGCATAATGTTTGTTTACCTGTCCAAGTATGCTGAATCATGCAGGCAGGAAATATTGGCTGTGATGATAGTAATTTCTTAAGCTGTATGCATGAGACAGATCAGTCAGTCAGTAAAGTTTATTAGTGTAGCACATTTCAGCAACAAGGCAGTTCAAATGCTTTACATCATAAAAACATAATACATTCAACAACAGAGAAACCTGTAACAGACGTCACATTTTGTCCAGTGCCGTCATTAAAATCATCACATCAAATATATTGATCAATATTTAATCTATTATGGTTCAAAAGCAGCTCGGATGGGTTTCCACCTTGATTTAAGGAACTCAGTGTCTTCTGGAAGTTTGTTCCAGATTTGTGGTGCATAGAAGCTGAATGCTGCTTCTCCATGTTTGGTTCTGGTTCTGATGCGGAAGAGAACCAGAACCAGAACCTGAGGGGTCTGGAAGGTTGATACTATAACAGTAGATCTTTAATGATTCCTGGAAATGTTCTTCAGGTGATAGAAGGCCCCCTTTGTGAGCAGGGTGGCCTCAGGATCGCATCTCTGCTTTTTGCGGATGATGTGATCCTGTTGGCTTCATCAGAACGTGATCTGCAGCTCTCACTGGAGCGGTTCGCGGCTGAGTGTGAAGCGGGTCAGTTTCTGGGTCAGCTTAATGACAGAACAGTCAAGGTCAGTTCCACTATAGACCTGGGGGCCCAAAGTGGGTCCTGGAGGCCCGACATCCTGCATGTTTTATTCTCTGCCTGGTTTAGCGCAGCTGGATCCAATGATGCTCATTAGAAGGTCTAAGAAGAACATCGACCTGCTGAAAAGGTTA